GAAAGGCTATATATCTGTTTTTTTGATTGTCGACTAAAGCTGGGCATAGAAAGCAGTCGTGACCTGACGGCAGACTCGTTTATATCGCGGCACTTAGACGTTTCATTTCACGTCACGGTGCACCACGCACATTTACAGTACAACGGTACCAATTTTGTGGGAGAATGCCGAAAACTACAAGACTAAATCAGATTTGGTCTCCTTGTATCAACAGAATCGGTTTCCCGAGAACTAACTAAGTCATCTATTGAATGGCATTTTATATCGCCTGATTCGCTCCACTTCGGAGGAATATGGGAAGCCGGCATTCGCTCAGCGAAATTGCATCTGAGAAGAGTATTGAAAGATACTCTTTTAACTCTCAGCACCCGCGCTCCCTTTCGCTGCGTTAGTAACCGCGCGCGACAATTTTCACCCCGAGGTTTCATTGTCCACATTTCATGTTAAATATAATGAACGAGCACAGTTTATTGCTTGGATTGAAACTAGAAATTCTAATTTTGCATGATATTAGTTTAATATGTTTAATTTTAAGTGTATTTTAAAACATATGACTTAATTTAAGGTCTTGCACATCATCGGTATTCGAAAGAAAATTTTAAAATGCATAAATGCACATTACTTTTTATTTACCTACACAGTCAAATTTTAACTAAAAAATAAATTCCGTTGATTTTATTATTTGATCTAATTAAAATTACTTCCATTTAATTTTTTTAATTATATTATAATGCAATTTATGAATTTCATCCCTTTCAAAATTTAGTACAGTAATACAATTTATCATTTTACCCTTTCGAAATTAACTTCAGTAACACAATTTATCATTTCATCTCTATCAAAATTAAGTACAGTAACACAATAACTGAAAAACATACCTTTAATTATTCAGAATCTTTACTTTTGAAACAATCTTCACATAAGATATTTACATGTTTCTTACAAATTAATTTGTTACATTCTAAACAAGATATAAATGTTTTCCAGTCGTCTTTTCTTGAACAAATATCACATCGTCCGCAGCTTCTCTTTTGAAACTTTTTTGGTTCATTAGTTACATCTACTCCAGCCAACCTCTTCACTCCAGTTTTTAGTGCAATGGGTAGAGATGTGATCCTTTGATCGAATTACTGCATGTTCTTTTACAAGGGCTAATGATAATTCCTTCAAGAAATCCCTTCGTTTCATATTACTCTGCTCATGGTTAGAGTTGTGTATTATGAATGCATTAATTCCGGCAATATTCATTAGTCCAAAAAATATTGTAAGCGGCCAACGTCGGCATCTTCTTGAAACTGAATATATTCCACATAATTCGTCTACAGTATCAACACCACCTTTAGTCATATTGTAGAACATTATCATTTCGGGTTTGTTCTGATCGCCTGAATCTGGATCAATTTTGTTGTCATCATGCATAGATGACAATACCAGGACCGATGCATTTTTTTGGAACATACGATGTTAAAGTAAGTTCCTTATTTTTGAAGCCAAATAGTGAAGAGTGTACAGGTCTACCTTTATGAGGCAAAAATTCTAACGGAATTTCTCTTTTATTTTTTCGAAGTGTACCGACGCAAGTAAGTTTATAATTGTGTAATAAATCAGTCGCTAAAGGAACACTCATAAACCAATTATCCATTGTTATGTTCCTACATGTTCCTTTTATCGGCGAAATGATTCTTTTGACGACATCAGATGGCGTATTTGATTGCCTGTAAGGTCCGATAGGCTGTTGTCCGGCATAAATTTCTAAATTATATGTGTAAAACGTGCGAGAATCGCATAAAGCAAAAATTTTAATACCATACTTGGCTGGCTTATTTCTCATGTATTGCCTGAATTGACACCTTCCTCTAAATGCTTCAAGTTTTTCATCAACTGTGCAATATTCTGAGATAGAGTACAGTTTCTGTATGTTCTTCAAGAACTTTTCAAAAATGTCCCTAATAGATGCGAGTCTATCAGTTTCTTTTCTTTGTGATCGCGAATTTATATTATCGAATCGAATGCATCTCAAAAGAAAATGGAAACGATTGAGTGTCATTGTATTTCTAAAAATAGTAACTCCAAAACCATCAGTAGACCACAAGTCTTTTGCGTTCAGGTGCGCTGCTCTCAAAACACCAGCATAGTATAACAATCCAAACAAAGCCTTCAGTTCCGCTACATTTGTTTCAAAAGCATCTCTTTCTCTGGAAAATTTATCTTTTATTGTTGAAATATAAATATTAGTATAGTTGACCAAATCTCCTAGAATATCATCATCCAAAATTTGAAGTAAACAATCAACTGGAGTTTTTAAATTTCGATATTGTTTTTTTACACCAGGTAAATGGGTTACAATGTTTTTCGACGGAGTCCGAACATTTTTGAAAGGCAATACTTTAGACCATTTTGTTCCATCTTTTCCTACATAGAAATTTTCGGATGAGACAGAAGATGTAACACATAACATCATAAATCATTGTTATCATTCAGAATCTGTATTGTGGTCACTTTCTGATATATTATCATGCTCTGATTCAGAATCTTCTATTTCACTATCTGTTTCAACACTCGCAAGCAGAGCCCGCAGTCTCTCTTGTTCACGTTCGTACGCACTCATTTCGACTGAAGTAGTGAATACAAGTAGAGGGTTGCTACCGTCCCACAGCTCTCTATTTGTAAATAATCTAGCCATTCAGACATCGTGGGAAAAATTCCTTTCAACCACGCCTTTATGAACTCAACCCTGAAAGGTAACGGAAATACCAGAACAGTCACGCACGGCATTTCTTCATTCTTAGTAAAAATATAGGAGTGGGGTGGGAAATGTCCCGTTGCGGGCGCTGACGGGTTAACCTACGAAGAGTTGTCAACGCTACTTACCCAGATCGAGGCTATTTTGAATTCACGTCTACTTACTTACTTGAACGATTCTGATATTGACTCTATTAATGTTTTAACCCCTTCTCATTTTATTACAGGTGATACTTTGACTTCCTTTCCAGAGACACATCAGTCTGTTCGCACAAGGAGTTATAGGTGGGAACTTGTACAGAATCTAAGACACGGATTTTCGAATCGATGGAAAAGGGAATATTTGACTTCTCTTCAGCAGAGATCCAAGTAGCAGCACAACAGACCCAATCTGAAAAATCGACATGGTGGTTCTTATCACCGAAGATGGATCTCCACCTCTAGCTTGGCCTATAGGACGGATCATTGATGTCCATACCGGGCAAGGACGGCTTAGTTCCTGTAGCTACAGTCAAAAATAAAACTGGTGTTTTCAAGAGAGCAAATAATAGAACTTTCACCTTTGCCTGTATATCAGGACTAAACCTGATAGGGTGGGAGTTATGTTCCGGTGCACGCCGGAACAGAACAACTCAACCTGACTCTTTCGTTGCCCTGCGTTGGCAACACGCTTTTGAGATTTGTCGTTCGTAGAATTCGGTGGCTAGAAGCGTAGCTGGACTGTAACGGTTGTAATTCTTATTTTAAAGCTTATCTGTACTCCTGAATTATTACTAAACGTTTACGTGTGAATGTTATATTATTAAATGTATTGAGTTTGATTTAAATAGACTAAGAGACGTTGATTTTATTAATTATATTTAAAGTCGAAACTGCGTCATCCATGGCGGCGCCATTCTAATACGAGGAACGTAAACACACCCTTTTGTGAGCAAATTTGAAATGTTTCTCAATAAAACTTTGAGATATGGTAGCAAAATCGTTCCGAGCACTTTATTTAATCGAAGAATGGCCATTTTTGCAGTGCTTTTGCTATATTTGTACGCATCTTGTGAAAACAATTATGCAATATTTGACTTTCTGTAAGTGGGAGTATGAATATGACACAGTCTGTAGTAATGTAAATTCATTAAAAATATCTGTAAATTTATCAATATTTAGTACAGAAATTATGAATGTAAAATGTTTGCTGACGATAAGAAAATGTAACTACAAGCATGCAGTAATTTCCAGTTACTCCATGGAATTTTCATTGCATAAATGTAATATGATATAAACCATACCATATATAATAATGTAATATGATATAAACCATATCATATTACATTGCACTGGGAGTTTTATTGTTTAAATAAAATAATTTCCTTATTTTCCTTTTCCGTGTCCAGGACACAGGACTTGCAAATCAGAATGAACTCAAACACTGTATTAACATTTATTGATGTTCTGTTTTCTTTCCGACGTTTTAAAGATGATGTTTAGGCATTTATAGATACATTCACTATTAATATTCTATATAATTTTGCAGAATATGGCGAATTCATATTCGGTTTGAAGTAGAATATCACCTACTTTATGCCGACCATGAAAGAAACGAATGTGAATATTGACTGAAAGGTAAGAATCTTCTTTAAACTTGAAAAAAATTAGAATGCAATCAAAGTACGTTCAAATACCAAAAGAATTTAAAAAAATACATGTTTCTAAAAAAACAAACCTTTCTATTTTTCTAGACTATTATATAAACAGATCGAATTTTCCGTCATGAAGAAGCAGGGTATGCTTTTACTTTTGCAGAAAGTAGTTATTTAAGATTACTTTCTTTCCCATGCATTAATATATTTAGGGTTCAAAGTATAAATACGCGTTTGTATATTATCTTATCACCCAGTATAATTCAAAATCTGAATGCAAAAGCAACGGTAAGTTAAAAATGCAAAAAAATTTCATCGACTTCATTTCCTTATTAAAATTGAATATCTAATGTGAAATTTATTTCCTGACCTTTCCCTGAGAAGAAGGTATTATCTATATAATTCCGAAACTAAAACTCGCCAGGTGAAAAGGTAAATCATAGAATTTAACCCCTTATTTCCCCTTATAATAACACAAAAAGAGGTCTTTTTCGCGACAAATGTTATTCTTTATTTCCTCTCGATCTCTTTTAAGTGATTTCTTTATTTCAATTCAAATTGTACTGGATATAGTCTGTTGTATTCATATCTGAAAAACAAATTCAACATAATTTAATTTCCTTTACCCAAGTTAATTTGCTTAAGTGCATTAAGAGCTTAAATAAACCTGAAGGAAAGAAAAAAATCTTGCTGCGAGATACTGACAATTATTCTTCTTTTCAATTTGCCTGTCATTTTATAAATTCCTGAAATCTGAAACTAATGCATTTAAATAAAAATATTTTTGTATATTCTAAACAGCCGTTATGTTGTTATGTGTGATATCTCTTTCGGGGACATTTGTTGCAATTTCAACAAGACTTCAAGTGCATCATTAGCCTGAACATTAATTTATCTTTATTTTTCAGTGCTTCTGCCTCACTATGGTTATGATAGCATATTTCTAGTTACCTTAAAATAGAAAACGTTTAACACACCTTAAGCGGATTTACATACATAGTTAATATTTCACTCTAATAATCTCCTCACTATATTGTGGTGGGCAATAATTCATCAAAACTGAAATTTGGTGAACTAAGTTTCTTAGTTTTTCTCAGTGGTCCTCAGTGGAAACCTGATAATTATTATCTCAGTGCGCATGGGAGAAGAACTGGATTCTACTAGGAGTGCTGACGTGGTGTAAATTTTTAACACGTCCTGTTATCAAATAAAATATCAATGAATATGTATCTGGTCAATTAATATTTTCCATTTACTTTGCTTTGAACTACTCACGACTTCCTACATGATTAACGAGATAGAATTTTGGATAATTTTGAATAAATATTTCGTTATAAGTTATATTATATTCAGTTACCTCATTATGATAATCTATTGGCTAGATCAACTAATACAGGTTGCTTAGAATATACAATTGAAGTGCAATAAGGAAATTTTATCGAAGTTACTTTATTATATGTAATAATCATACTATATGTAATAAATACAGGCTTTAACACTTGTTCTCGATTAGTTCCCTACAACTTTATCCTCTTTGAGCAAAGAGTAAAAATTATTATTTTCCCTGGATTAAATCATTTGAATAAAAAGCAGTTATTGGGATATCTGAATGAAAACCATTTCAGTTCCACTCTGTTAGTTCATTTCTTTGATTTACAAATTTTACATATTTTTATATCCTGCAATATACCAAAGAAATACGCAGAACTAACTTTCACGTAGTAATATGAATTTAAAATAATCACATAAAGCAAAACTGGAAAGCGTATTATAACTTTACGTTTCTCGACAAACGTCTAACATTCTCAAATACTTCGTAGTCGCTTTGAAGTTAAATAAATATCTTTTTTATGTTAAATATTACAGAATAAATGAGTAGTGACTGAAAATAAGAAAAGAAAAAAAAGAGGAAAGTGGAACTTCGAGAAGAGGCGAGAAAAAATTACCAAACATCCATTATTTTTTAGAACATCGCTTATCCATTCTACCTTTGTTTATTTCTTTAATAAATTCCCCTTTACCGTGCATCTTCTCTTAATATAGATCTGTATGCTTCGCTGAATTTGTACAACTGTTGAAATTATACTTTTATGAAAAGCTTTATATAAAAAATATTAAAAGATCTCTGACAAGGCTTAAAAAATTATATCGATGTAACACGTTTTGGAGGAATATTTTTACGCATATTGCTTACACATGTGTAAAAAATGTCAGAATTACTTTATCTAAACGAAAAATGCAGATCGTCTATGCGAAGCTTTAAATTAGTTACGCATAAATGTATGTTTAATGTGGTTAGCGTTAACGTTTAACCCACCACTGTTTTGAAAAAAGAACCACTTTCATTCCCTTCTCAGTGCAGCCTTTCGCAGTAATGCAGTATGGAGAATTTGAAATTTATTTTTAATATATTTGGACGAGTTAAAATAAGCTGATATTTTTATTGGGTTGATAAATTTATATAATGATGATAAACGTACAATTCAATTCATTCAAAAATTTGCTAAATATTATAATTAAATCTATAACCTTAACTGTGCTCAAAGCAGTAATATGCAGTGATGAAATTCATGTTTTTAGAACACTAGTTATTAAATGTTCGTAAGCAAATTTAAAATTTGAAAATAGATTACGCACATTAAAGGTGAACTTAACATTGAAACTCAGATAATTTTATCCACTAAATTATTTCTTTGCTTCAAAAATTGGATTAAATATTTTGTTTGAAAAATATAAACATATTGTTGTATTTGCAAAATGCGACACCACAAAGAGAATATCCAATATATTTTAAATTTGCATCATTCGTAGCTTTTCGCAAGATATACAAATGATTAATATTGGAGCAGTCAAAAGCAAATCATCTGAGCCCGTAACGCTATTTGGACGCGCTGTAAAATGTAAAACGAGTAGGTAGTTTTAAGTACTGAAATTGTATGTTTTCTGTCTCTTTCTTTGTGTGAGAAACTTTAATATGCTTTACGCTCTGGGAGCGTAAGGTTCGAGAAAATTCCTGATTTAAAATGAAGGACAATTATAACTAATGCAAGTTATAGTAATCATTTCGAGAAATCTGTATTCG